ATTTCTTTACATAAATGTAGCTCTCCAAGTCAACTTTCTAATTTCACTTTTTGATTCTTTAATACTTTCTTATAACTCTTTATATACTTTAAAGATTAATAGTAGATACCAAATTCACATCCTAACTTCAAACAATCATATTTCCCTCATCTAATCTCCAAATCATATATTTTTTTATACAAATTCTAATCTAAAATACAAGCTTTTTAAATCCAATCTCTAAATTTTGAATAAATTTCTTTGCCTTGAATGGTTTGCCTTGCCTCAAATAAGCTGCCTTAAAGTCCAATGTAGTTCCAAACAACCTTTTGAAGCCTATTAGGCATGACTTCAAATCAATAGAAATAAAGTCCTCTATCACTTACCTTATTCATCCACATGGGATGGCTTAGGAGTCAAAATATTATACTTTTGACATCAAAGTCTTTCTAATTCTCTTATTAATAAATCCTATAATTTTTATCTTGAATTACAAAATTTAAACTATAAATTTATATAAATTAAATAAATATTTTTTATTTTATTATTTTTATTCTATTTAATTTATAATTGTAATCTAAAATTTCATAATAATTTATATTATTTTTACATATTATACTACTTTTTAGTATGACAATGTGTCTAACATGTAAGACAAGTTTCTTTCATTTGCACCACATAGCCAATTTGTACCACAAGTTGCTAACATATGTGACATATTGTCATGTGGTAATATGACTATATAGTGAATTAAAAAAAATATATAATAGGAGAACCTAATAGAAAGATATAGTAGAAAAATAATGGTAAATTATAAAAAGTTTAGTCTTAATACTATATTTTATTAAAGAGACTTCTATTTACTTTGTAGAGGCAAAAATGAGACAAATCAAAGTAAATGAATTTAGAAATTAATATAGATATATTTAAAAGATAGTTAAAAATAGATTAAAGTAAAACTTACTTCAAATTACTAAAAAATTGATACTAAAAAAGGACCAGTTCTCATTTAGAACAAAATCAGATCCTAAGGCACAAAATTGCATACCTGCATTGATTCGAATGTTCTTTTGCAAATCAAAGAGTGGAATTTGAGAGAAGACTTTATATAATTTATTTAAGAATTTATTTTGAGCAGTTTGAGTTTATAATGACTTTGTAAGAGCTTTACAAAAATAGGATTATTTTTGGTAAATTTGATTTTTTTAAATTAAAAAAATAATTCACAGTGATAAGTGACCTACAAGTGATAATTCACAGATTTATGATTATAGTTTTTTTTATTGCATGTTGTTAATTTTGAGTGTGATCAAATAGTTTGATTAAAGGTTATTGTAGTTTAAGCGGGTTGCAGTCTCAAAAAATGGGATTTTGAGTGTTAGAAAGCATTATTAAGATCTTTAGCAATTTACTAATTGGATTAAAATGCAATTTATGTATGTAGATAGTAGACTTAATTTTCAACATAAATATGAATTTTGAGGAGTATTTAATGGTAGAATTAAGAGATTTTGGCTTGGAAAGACCGATATCAAATTTGGAGAAGGAAGTGAGTCAATATCCAAGCGGATTTTAGGATTTATCATCTATTTGATATATGTAATCTTCTTCATTTATTTTTTATTTTTTATTTTTTATTTTTTTACTTATTTCTGACTTAGTTATTATAAGGTATGTAATATTTGAGTCAAAATCAACAATTCAATCATTTGTCATTAAATATTTAATTTGTTATTGGATTATTAAGAGTTTTATTTATGATTTAAGATTTGATTAATGATTGATTACAACTTGTTTAGGATCTAGAATTTTGTTAAGATTTGATTAGGATTTAGGATATTTTTTGAATTTGATTAAGATTTAACTAAGATTTGATTAAGATTTGACTATGATTTAATTAGTATTTATTTAGGATTTGATTAAGATTCATTAGAGTTGGTTTAGGATTTAAGGTTTTATTAGGATTTCAATTAGGCTTTGATCTAGGCTTTAGTTAAGGTTCAATTAGGATTTCAATTAGAATTTGATCTAAGATTTGATTAAAGTTTATTAGGATTTTAGTTATGATTAAATTAAGTTTTGATTAAGATTTATTTAGAATTTATATTTTTAATATTTTTAAAGAAATTTTTATTGTTTCTTTTAAGGTTTCTATTTCTAACATTTCTTTAATATTATTATTATTTTTTTAAAGATTTTTTTATTATTTTTTATTGAAATTAATTTATGACTTCTCTGTGTTTCTTTTGTAACTTCTTTTAAATTTATTTTGAATTGATCTCATCTTCCACAACTAGGTGCTCAATATATTCTCAAAGAAGAACACAAGTAATATGACAATGATGCCAATTTGTTGGCAAGTTTTCAACTTATCAATCAACTATAAGCACATATTAAGTCAAATCTATGTCTATGAAGCTTTTTAAAAGGTTTTTTTTAGAAGATATTATCAATTTTGTGTACATTTTTTTTATACTTTATACTTCTTATTTAAGTAATTATGTATGTCTATAACAATTTCTAGTTTATTAACTAATCATTTATTTGTAAAGATATAATTTTTATAAATATTAAAAGAATTAGTTTAATTGTTAAAAATATTTTTTTAATATCTAAATTATGTGACTTTCATCTTTAAAAGCTAATAGAATCACAATATTCTTTAGATATAATGTTTTTTTAGTATACAATAAAAAATTCAAGTTTTAGAGACTCAAATTCTAAATTTGCTTAAAAGAATTTCTTAAAAACTGATCCCCTAGAGTCTTTATATTGGAATTGGATCCTTCTATTTTTTAAGATTTTTTTAGTAGAAAAAAACTAATGCCAAATTTCTCACAATATCATTGCCTTTCATGCACTTATAGATGATTTTGTAGATTTTTTATAAAACATCAATTTACTAAGTTACCACCTTATATCATATTATAGCCACATAAAAATTAAGTTTCTATTTTTGAATTTGATTGAGTTAATTTACTCATTGACTTCTTTGAAATCTTGAAGAATTGATCTACTTATGAACATATAGTTAGAAAAGTTGTTTAACAAATACAAAACTATAAAATTCTAGTTACAGAGGTTGTATGTGCATTATTATACCATGGGCCTCCACTAAACCAACTGCTTTGATGATTTTCTGTATTAATTTTCATGCATGGTATCAAAAAGGTTGCACCACAATTCATTTTCGCAATGTAGCTTGATTCTTCTTGAATAAGAAAAAGAAAGTAACAATGGAATGAGTCAAATTAAATGCTAGATGAACTTAATATATTTTTCCATGTCAAGCAATTAACGTGGAATGATGTTTTCTCCTTTTTACCTCATTTAATCATATTCAAAGTCAAACCACACAGATTTTTGACACATGGGGCCAGACTTTACAAAAATAATACCAATCAAATGATGCATTAATTGTCCGAGAGTGCGACCAATGGCACGCAATTCTTTCCCAACCAATCCTAGTTCCTCCTTCCCAGCAACTTCCAATAAAACACAGAAGGGCAAAAAGAAAAAGAAAAAGAAAAAAGAAACATAAAGACAGTGGACCGATTCTCAGCACTATTGATCAGCTCAGCGTGGCCCGACCCTGCAGAACGCGGTGGTGGGCTGTGCCCGAAAAAGACCGAAGGATCGATTCACGGCGTTCGAGGAGTGCAAAGCTCCGAGCCTCCTCGATCCTCTCTTCTTCCGTGACCAAATCGCTGCAGCCCCCGATTCAATCGGTGCAGCAGCTGGCTGTGAGAGAGGCGCAAGTCGCAAGGAGGCCCTATTTTGTGAACATGGGTGAAATTCCGTCTCTCCGGACGGACTCTCAATGCGCCTGCAGGAATTACGCCCCAGTTCCGAACGACTTCGCAGATCGTCGAAACCAGTCCCACTGCCACCGATGACGCTTTCAGATGGTGCGCACGGAGAGCTTGGCGAAGCGACGACTTTCCTCCGGGGGATACGGCGATTCTCGGAATTAGTCGTGTAAATCCCAACAAAAGTATCTGCTACAGCGTTGCGTTGGCTACGAATTCTGACTTGGTCGCCATTGAGTTTTGTTTTCATTGTAATTTTCGGAGAGTTTCAGGATCCGGGAAAGGCTCGTGGGGAAATCAGTTGTTTGACAAGATTATCTGTGAGGGATAAACAACAGACGGTGAATGGTAATTCCCGTTAAGACATCCTGCAAACAAGAACATGCCAGCTTTAAGGATATGTGGTGAAAGGATTCCTAAAAACAGTACTTAATTTGCTAAATCTTCGGCAACACTAATTTGCTATTCCGGTCGTTTTACATTCCTTGAATGTCAGATGTTCTTCACGATTTTGCATCTAGATCCTCAATCAGGTTTAATCTATCAAATGATGAATATAAAAAATCATATCTTGACGAATGTTTATCAAACTGAGGAAGAAATGTAGTAAGATTAGCCCACATTTTCAAACTTGCTGAGTTGTATTAATCAACTATTGCAAATGATCTCAGTGCTAAGTATTTGTTCATAATGAAGCTTACAGTCCTTTTCCAATTTTTAGCATTCTTAAACTGTTGGGGTGGTGGAAACTGGCATATACGACATGATCTGTACAATGTAAGATCACAATGCCAGTCTAGTATGAAAAAAATGCCTAAAAAATCCTTGTTGGTTAAAACAAATCCTTCAAAATCTCGTCTATGACAATCAAAAGCGTCCTCAAAATCTCAATCTAGAACATTCGTGTTACAGATCCCGCGAGGCTCTACCTAGCATGCAACACCCACTATTAACCACGTTGCAGACTACCAAATCAGGCTCCCGAACATGAACCGATCGCAAATCGAAACAGCACACGCGAGTTCTTAGCACGTATATCATACTGGGTATCTACTTGAAATCCAAGTTTTGTTGGGATTTTTAAGATTTTGAAGCATATGTACCGTAGGAAGAGATTACACGGTACCTACAAGCTGGTGCTAGAGCTCCAAGTGTTCAGATTTGAGAGCTTGGAACATACTTGCGCCATCGATCTGGCGGTCGTCTCATACCTGCTCAGTGATTAGGTGCAAGGCCAGGCTCTGTTCTAACTAGATCATTGTCTTCTTCATCGTTATATTTTGTTACACAAGAGCACGATTGCCACTGTCTTGATTGTGTAGAGCCAGGCCGATCAGGCGGAGCTAAAGCGATTGATTTGGGGTCGGTTTGCGGTATGCTTTGTTAGTGTCGGTGTTCACGTTCGTTTTGGGGTTTGCCATTTGTAATCTTCGAGGTCAGCCTTGTGATAGTTTTGCATTGGATCGGGTTATGTTTGACTGGTCGCCATAGTTTGGTAGTTCAGATGAGCCAGTCGTATCCCGATTGGGCCGACCAGTCTAGTTTTGTGCTCAAAGTGTGGCATGCCTTTGAGTTTTTCTTCGCTATGTTTGTTCGTTCCAGAAGTTCCTGGGAAGTTCGATGAGTAGGGGTTTTGATTCCCCGTGGTTCGATCTGTGCGTGTTTCACAATGAAGGAAGCTATGGCCGGCACTAACACTCACTGTGATCTTGTTGGTGTGTCGATGCAGGTTGGTCTCTGCAGCAGAGTGCATAGACTGTCTTACTTTCTTCGTCTGCGGTTACCGTAAGTAACCACCTTTTCATGTTTCCCATTGTTATCACTCATCGTGAAGCATCAGTCAGTGTGAGATGATTGCCTCATCATTATCTCAGATCGGTTCTTTCTAACTATCAGTGATACTTCTGCTATGTGCAGTTACTGCAGGGATTACTAAGGGGAGCCAGGAACCATGGCCGACCACGACGATAAGGAAGTCGTAGCTCTGACTCAGAACGTAGGGGAAGTGACAATCGAAGATCGAGGATCGGATAAGCCCAAAGAGGAGGAAGACAAGGACAAGGAGGGGGGAGTGATGGGCTTCATCAAGGATGTCGGTCATGCCATTGGAGGACTGTTCAGCTGGGGCAGTCCTGACGCTGACATCTCAGGGTTCGATATCCCAGTGTTGAACACGAAGCGCGCCGAAATTATCATAAGCGTGCTAATCACGAACCCTAACCCAATTCCTATTCCCCTTGTTGATATGATTTATGAAATTTCGAGTGATGGCCGGAAGCTCTGCTCTGGCACTATCCCAGACGCTGGCACCGTCCATGCCCATGGATCCGAGACTGTGAAGATTCCGCTCAATCTGATCTACAAGGATATCGTTGACACCTTCGATGACATTGAACCTGGCCAAGTTCTTCCTTATCTTTGCAAGGTACGTGTAGTGTACATGTTTGGATTATCTGGAAAGTTTGTGGTATACACTCTTCGAGACATCTTTGCTGTTTTCTACTGGGTTGTGGATGCTTAGAAGTTGAAGTCTCCTTTGAATGGTGGTATGCAGGTTACTCTTTTGGTCGATGTTCCCGTTATCGGAAGGATCACTATTCCGTTGGAAAAGAAGGGAGAAATTCCCATTCCTCACAAGCCAGATGTTGATTTGGAGAAGATTGACTGGGACCATCTTTCGCTCGAAGAAACTTCCGCCACTTTGCATCTGACTTTCAAGAACATGAACAAGTTCGACGTTGGTACTGTCTATGGCATCCATTTCCGTCATTTTTCTTGATCACTTTCAATGTTAAGTTCCAATCACTTTGTAACGGGTCGCTGATTATGGCTGATCAAATCGAATTCTTGTTATAAAATTTCATTGCAGGTATCAATTCCTTCGAGTATGACCTGCAGCTTGGTGATGTTTCCATCGGAAAGGCTACACTGAAGGAGGCAACTTCAGTGAAGGGAGAGGACATTGGAATTTTGCAGGTGCCTGTCTCCTTCCGACCCAAAGACTTCGGCGGAGCTCTGTGGGATATCCTCAGAGGGAGAGGCACCGGGTACACCATGGTGGGATCCGTCGAGGTCGACACACCTTTTGGGCCCATGCACCTGCCCTTCAGTAAGACTAGCGAAACCACATTGAAGGGCAAAGAGGACGATGAGGTATTGTATACCTTCTAACTTAATTTTTCTGTGAATTTCATTAGATGAGCAACAATGGTTCAATCCTCACGTGAGAGAGCCAAGAGTAATGATTTGTACACTAATTGTTTTCTGCTCGTTACTCTGCCATTCTGAGCGTGAAACTTATCCTCTTTTTTCCTTTTCCGTGGTTACAGGAATGAAGGATGAGGGTTTGAATATCTCAGTCCCTCCTGCCCACCAACCTCCTCCAAGGCCAGGGCAGCCAGATTGATTCATTCACCTGACGCATCCAACATCTAGGTGTTCATGAGATGCCAAGTCAGTGAAGCAGCGAATTGGATATGTTGGAAGGATTGTAGGGACGACTTTCACCAATCTTCTGCCATAAATCTCTGTACTCGTTGTTATATCTATGTAACATCGTCTATTACTAAATGACACAAACTCACACAGCATGACAAACAATCCCATTCATGTTTCCTTGTAGAAACCGACTACTATGGGTACTGACTTCATGACGCGATGATCCTTCACTATGACATGTCCTCGGCCTGTCGAAGGCACAGTGACTTCTGTAGTATGTATGCATATACAGCTTGAATTGGTAGCAGCCACACGAGACCTTTTTAGATCTTGTGGTGATGGTTTGGGGACTGAAGCAGCAACCGAGTCCTAGAACGCTGCCGATTAGGTTTATGTGAGTGCAATTGCTGTGATTGCTCATGGTCGGGTGAGGCCTCCTCCTCAGGCTCCTCGACACCGTGAAATCGCCGATTTGGAATGGCTCAGGGTGAAATAGGCCAGGCTTTACGATTGCTACTGTCACGATGCCCTTAGATTAGATGATTTTGCTTGAGGGAATAATTTAATAACCACCGCGAAGTCCTTCTCTTTGCAGCTTCTTGTGGTTGCAATTCCTTTCCCATTCTGGACTCCCTTGTGTACTTGCCTCTTCTGGTAACTTGGGTACTTGGATACCCTCCACTGTTCTCAGTTTGTGGCCTTGAAGTTCGTGCTTCCATTATCTCTTAGCCGTTGTGTCATGTTGCTGCTTCTGATTGCCATTCCGACATTGCCATCACCAAGAGTTATTGCAACGACCCAGTTGCTACGTTGAATATGGTTCACTCATGGATTATCTAGCTTCTCTACTGAACTCCACCGCAATTTCGGCCGTGTTGGTTCACAAGGTTCCATGCATGTGGACAGCATTGTGATCTCACGTTGTCAATAAAGTTTCACAATATCGATGTGTGCTCTTTACCTGTAGTGAGCACCATCTTGGTGGATTTATCATGGCACTAAAAATGCTGTACTTTAATGTTTCGTGAATGACAGTCTTTAGAAGATGTTTATCTAATTCTGTTAGTCAAGCAGGTCTTAATATTTTATCTTGACTGCGTACGGATGATGATCCCGGGTGAAATATTGTCTCAAAATGAAGAGTACTGTGTGAAAAACAATAAAGGAAGAGAGAATAACGATCACTTTTGTTTCCGAAATTCGATCACAAGTCCTGATTCACGCCGTTGCGTTCACATACTACTTTCACCATGAACCGTAGCTAATGCTTATTTCTTTGAAAATTCAATGTGAATAGGGAGAAAGTGTTTTGCTCAAATATCAATCCTAGAAGCGACATTCATTCATAGATATAAGGTTGTATGGTTTGTGAAAGTGTGACTGTTGAGCATTGACTTTGCATTTTCAACACTTGAAAATGAATCGTGAATTTCTGTTAAAGGTTGTGAAGTTTATCTTTTAGTTCGGTTTGACTGTAATATCAGATTCAAAAATAATTTCATGGCAATTTCATGCTCTTTGCAATTTGCAAACAAAGAAAGAGTGCCATGAGAAATTACATGAAGATGGAATTTATTTAGCACTAAATATCTTCTTTGAGTGAGAATTATGTAAGAATTAATTCAAAGTTATTGGTTGTTGGCATGTATGCGGAACAATTAAAATTAGGTAGATTTTTGAGGGACTCATAAAAAAAAGAATTACGAGGATAAAAATCTATAAACAAGTATCGAAGAACATGATTATTGGAATGTATATTTGTTTTAACATAATTTTAAAAATCTTATACATTTTAAAATTACATTAACATCAAACATGTAAGGTTCACATGTTTAAACAGATATATAATTTATACATATAGAAATAAAAGTTAATTATTTATGAATCGTATTTTTTGAAATCACATGTTTTATTGAAAACCTAAGAATATAATTTAACTTTGAACCACAATTACTTTTTATAGACTACTGCAAAGTTCTTGGAAAAATATGTTTGAATTTATTTCATGTAGTTATTTTTGAAAATAAATAACATACATACATGATTTGCATTTCTTCGAAATACGGAAGAAACACGGATTTTTACAATTTTCGAATTTAGAATTTATGTTATTTAAAAATGTGACCTTCAGAATGGTATTAAAATATTGAATAGAAGAAAATTACGTGTAATAATAATATTGATGAAAATATAATATTTAAGTGTATACATAAGCCATAATAAAGATTTTTATCCACTCAATCCTAAATTATTATGTACAAAAAATTTATCATGAAATATTAAATTATCCAACTGTTACAACAGACCATATCATATTATGAAACATAGTTGAATAATAAAGACTACAATCAGCAAGAAGATTTGCAATTATTTATTTCGAAATTAAAATGAATCTGTTTGTAAATAAATTTCAATCTATTTTTATCCAAGGAAATCAACCAAAGATGTACGTTCCATGTTTGTTTACAAATCAATTACAAGCAACATAATAAGATTTAGAATAGTGATAAATAACACAAATAACATAAAAACTAGTGAAAAATATGTTTTAAATTTTTATACATTGTGGCAATATACACATAATTTTCAATAAGCCACTGCTACAAGATTATATTCAGTAATGCTTTTTAATATACTAAATGTTACCAATCAGTTGATTGTGTATATATATATATATATATATTTGTAGTATAAAATATTATGATTTTTATTATTTGTTTACAGAACTTATGTTATCAAAAGTTAAACCCAACAGTTAAAAAACATGTTAGCTTGAATAGGCGTCAAAAGAAAATTTAAATGCTTGTATTGGTAATGACGACAACAAAAAGGTATATATATATATATATAAATAATAGATGGCTCATCTACACTTTAAAGATAGACTTGATCATCCTGAAGTAAACATTCATAGCTGTAATTAGTCTATGTGCTTCAATACCCTCACACATTCCAAATTAGTCTCACACTCTCTAATAAAGATTTAGAGAAAAACCCAAAAATATAAATTCCTAAATAGAGGGTCTAAGGGCTAGCCCCAGCTCGGGTCAGAATATAAGGAATGTATAACAAGTTAAGCAATTTTGCAACATTTCATCTTGGCAGCTGAGCTTTCTATGCTGCATTTCAATATGAGCTTTCTTTGTTATAATGGAGATATCTTCAGCTTTGCTTATTCTTGCCACACTTACACAAACCCAATTACAAGTGTTGAAAAGGTCCTGAGTTCAAGTTCAACTAGTACATGAAGAGATAGAGCAGGAGCAAGGGGAACAACTTGAGCAACCAATCTCACCCATTGAGAATGTTTAGGAGCTAATAAAGAAGACGAAGAATGCGCTTCAACATGTTGTTAGTGTGTATGATTGCAAGAAGGTTGTAATGTGGATGTTCAATGACGTACATCAGAATGGAAAATCTGGAATGTGTTCGACAATGTTCATATTTTTTTACTTTTTTTAGAGCTGACATGAATGCAAATGTCAAGAAAGCATCCGACTGGTAGAAAAATCAAGTTGTTTGACAACACATTGATAAACAAACTGAGATTTCTATCAACATACATCAAGATGGGATTATATGGAAGGCATTGCAGAAGGCTAAAGAAGGCAGGGGTTCAAAAACAATGCCTTGGGTAACTTCGCTATATCCAAGCATGTTGAATGAATTCAATTGATTGAGAAAAGCAAGAGTGAAGTTTAATCCATGATTATTGCAACAGTGGACAAAGCAGATTGCCAATAAACTCAAGCATTTCTCATTTAGATTAGCAAGTTGATTTGCAAAAGAAGATCTCTACTTGCTGAATTTAGACGTTTGTGGAAAAGTGCAACATTGTTGGGAAAAATAAAATGTGCAAATTAATGGTGCATCTAGATATATAAGCTTAAAATCATAAGAGTATTGTTTTTTTGTTTTTTTTTTTGTTTTTAAGAATTGCGTATTCAATAAAGATTTTGTAGAGAATGTTGATGAGATCTATTTTATTGTCAATATGGATAATAGAAAGATAATGGGTTTTTGCTACAATAACAATGTGAAGTATGCAAATATTGTTTCAGATAGGAATTTGATCTTGTATTAAAATACCTATGCTAGTTTTTGAGAATTCAAAGTGTGCTTGTAAAATTAGAGGTGTTTGTGATGGTATTCTCGATGTAGCTATCATAGACATAATCAATACTATTAATTACTTAAATAAGAGGAGTTAGGTATAAATGACTAATAATATGTAAATTTGATAATATTTTACAAAGAACCTTCTTTATACATGTTTGTAGGTGATAGATAGGTTAAAAACTTGGCTAAGTATTGTGCATATTTGTTACTTGTGGTGCAAGTTGTCCAAATGGTATGCATATAAGAAACTTGAATTAATCATTTCTCATTTAAATTAAACAAGTATCTTGCAAGTTGGACATGTATTGGAGATCTTATAGAACATCACCATATAGCTTTTAGTTATACCTTCACAATAAGGATCACTATCAGCTACCATATATGCTATTAAATTTCAAAACTTGGTTTGTGTCAAGGATAAGAACTCAATAAAAGTAAATAAATAAGTGAAGCTTTCTCAAAGAAATAGAAATAGAGAAGTATGTATATTAAAAGAAAAATTAGGATGGCTATTGCTAAAACATAAGGAAATTAGAGACTCTTGAAACTAGAGTAGAAACAAGAAAGGAATTGACAAGAATGAAGAAGGCTTCACTTTGGCATCTATATACACTATCTACCTAGGATTTATGTGGCGACATTCTATAGGACCTCCAAAAATGAATTGACTTTGCATGACACATGTCTTGACTTGCAAGAAAAGTTTTCTATATGGGCACCACATAATTAGCTTGTTTAGCAAACTACTAATATATATGGCATATGAATAGCTTGTTGACTAAGTTTCTAACCTATTAATTAACTACAAATATATATAAAGTTAAAATAATATCTAAAAAGCTTCTCTAGAAGGTATTATGAAATTAATCTATTTTTATCTAATTCTATTTATTCATATTACATAAGTAAAAATTACAATAGATATATATTTGTGACATTATCTCTCTTTCTAAGAATGAATTTCAAGAGGAGCAATGATCATATATTGAAGAAGTCTAAAGTATGGCAAATTATATTTGCCATATACTGTGATCTTTATTTTCTTCAAAGGTAGTTGATAGGTCGTCTCAGCCATCAGTAATGTCCCATTCCAAGGTAAGAAGGCTACTATGTCATCTGATTCTTGTTGAAACCTTCATAACTTCTTTTCAACAAAATATTCGTAATACCATCAAGAGTCATGCCTACCTCCAAAAAATCACCAAATATTGAGAGTCTTTTTCCAAGTTGTAATACTAAATGCATTGTATCTTGCCATCTATTCAAGAAAGAACATATTATTCTTAGAGGTCTCTATTTCTATTACGTCATCTTGAAGGCTATGATAATTACAATGTCTCATTCGATAAATCAGCAAATGATGGCTCATGAGTTATATCTGCTAGCTATTGATTCTCCATCTCTTTAACGCAAAAATTATACAAAAACTTCAAACAATGATACAAGCTAGAATGCAATCTATCTTAAATTGTGTTTTTTTTATAGTAAAAGTTTGCTATCCTT